GCAATTGGAGTTTGGGAGAAAGAGCGTGAAGATTTCTAAGCGCTGCTAATCCCTTTGAACCCAGCTTTTTCTTCTCCTTAAGAGGGCAATAGAGGGCCGATTTACCGAACCCACGGAGTCTTAACAACTCCGGGGGACCTATTTACCGAACCCACGGAGCTTCAACCACTCCGGGGGCCAAACGGCCTCTAGCCTCTCCCCGTCACCGAGTGCGATCCTAGACGTATCCCTTTGCTTTGAAACTACTGGGCCGAACCCGCGGAGCTTCAACAACTCCGGGGTCAATTGTTGGAGTCCTCTAGCGAGGACTTAAGCGGAGCTGAGCCCGGAAAACTGTCCAGCCTACACCACGACCATCTTTGGTGAAAGTAAACAATCTTTTAATCAACCATTATGCATCCGTAACTAATTCTAGCTCGCCACTGGTCTTCTTCGACCCTGCATGCCCGGGCTGCTGGCCACAGCCCGCGTGTGCAAAAACGGGTCTGCATATCGCTCCCGGCTCGCACATGGCGACATGGACGAGATCAGGAGGTGGCCTGCACAATGCCCAGGACCAGGAGCCTCCTAGCCATCCCCTACAGCTCCTGCCCTTACCTCCAGATGATACCAGCAGCCGTCCAGCCAGGCAATGTTGTTGCCTGGCAGCCAGACTGCCCTGTTTATATGGGCAGCCCCAGATTCAAAATGGCTGCCCTCATCAGACACCTGGCAGCTGCCAGTTCCAGGCCCTTGAAGTGGCAGGCACAAACTGTGTCCTGCCACAGTCATGATTTTTAACAAAAGCAGCAGCCATTCCTGTGTTTTCTGTGGACCCTGATCTATAGGTGTGTGTTAAGCATGTTCTCTGCGTGCCTATTGAATCCAACCCTGCAAGTGAAATACCTTGTTTGTGGCTCCCAATGGGTCTTAGATGCTAGATAATAACCAAGCTGCACCCCAGGATTGAAAGAATGTTATGATTTGGGTCCCTGCAATAGCAACATGACTGGACTTGATGACACAAATTTCATCCAGTCCTATATTCCTGTTTAGAAGATTGAGGTGCTTGAGGTGTTCAGAAGCAGAACCTGAGATGCTTGCAGAACTTTACCAGCGTAAAACTTAAACCCAGGTTTTGATATCATACATTTGGATTTAGGTACCTACGTTCCATGTAATTTCTTTTGTGTGCTTGGGTCTATGTGACTTGCCCAATGTCAGACAGTTTGTGGTAGAGCAGGGAACTGAAACTAAGTTGCATACTTGCATTTAAATGACCTAGGAGAATTCTCCTGGGTTTTTTCTCCTTGTAGAAAAACTTACCCGGAGACATCTGAACAGACATTCAAATGCTGAAGAACTTGCAGTGCTGATGCTATGCAGCCAGGGTGGCCTGTGCACATATCTCAGCTGCTCTGCAGGTTCCCTCAGTCTGCCTGGTGACAGATGGTAGCAGTGTATGGGGTAGCCCTGATTGGCTGACCCAGGCTGCTCAAAGTCAACCTGTGTCTTCCTGCAGCACAACGTGGGGTTGTGAAGTGGGAATGTTCTGCTCCTTACTTGGCTGGAGTAGTACAGTCCAGCCCAAGCAACACAATGTCTTCAGTGGGGGAGTGAGGAGTGGGAGCAAAGCACCCTGGGATGCTGGATGACCATGGCTTTTCTCAGAAGAGAACATGTACAGACATTCTCCCTCCCTCAAGAAACTCTTTGAAGAGTGATTTAATTGTCATTGTTCCCAAGTTATTTTTCTCCCAGAGTGGGCATTTTTTCTCTGAGAGAAAAGCCCACCCTGAACATCTGTACATTTTTGGTTTCTCCTGAGACAGCAGCATTCTCCCAAGAGAAAATGAATCTCTGATGTGCCCCTAGATCTCCAGAGAGTCAGACTAGTGCCATAAGTACCAGATCACTATTCTTCTCTCTCTGGGTGACTGAATTAGTAGTAAGTAAAAGTGATTTTGGAGTATATTCATATAGAGGTGCATATCCAAACACACTCCCCAGGAATTCAACCTTTCTGTTTGAAGTGGAATATTTCC